ATGGTTTGGATTGGAAGGGACCTTTAAAGATGGTCTAGTCCAACCCGCAATACTATAGACTTCTGATATTAGATGACATGTAACCAATTTGTGGAAGCCTAAAGACCTGATAGTATCTTGAAGTGTTCAGAATTTTTCCGAACTATTTATTTTAAATACATGGACAAGAAGAGATCTTGGTCAGTTGTTATTTTTGTTTGGTTTTGCATGTGTATAAATCAATGTTTTATTTGCATTGCTGTGTTGTTTAGTATTTAAAGTTCCTGTGTGCACATATTTGAGTAGATATTTTAGCCCTCGCCTGTGTTTTGTGTTTAGTACCATTCCCTCTCCTTCCCCTTGCAGTTAAAAGCAAATAATGTGAACATGAGAAATGACAGGGGTCTCAGCAAATTCCTAGGGATAATTACAGTAATGTTGCTGGATTTTTGATTGGACTTTTATTTCTTTGCTGCATGTCCTACATTGACCAAAGGAAACCATGTAGGACCCCCTCCTGTATTTTTGCCTCTTACCATAGTTCAGCATTGTATTTTCTGACGGTATCCAAAAAAAGGGAAGTAATTCTCTTACATTTCAATGTAACTGATCCAGGCTGGGAGAGAAGGCTGCGGAAACTGCCAAAAAAGGAAATAGTTGGTTTTATATTCTTATTGTGTACTTTCTCTTTCTTAATTCCTGTATAAAATCCAGAGGATTTATGAAGATCACTGTGTAGCTAAAGCTTTAGCACCAATGGGATATAAGTTTCCCATTTAATCTAATGCTTCTCTGAACAAGACTTTATTTTTCTGTATGAGGAACCTTTGCGCTGTGCAGGGAAAAGGGCCTGCAAACTGCTGTACTCCTTCTGAGATCAGCTCAAACAACAGTGCTGTGCAGAGAAAAGTTGAGTCAGATTTTGTGTGTGGGCACAAAAACTGGGTGGTACTAAGCAGTCCTAACTCAATGGGACTTGTAGTTCTCAAGCTTTGTCTTGAGACTTAAAGATCTGTCTCAGTTGATCATGCTTTGCCAAATCAGCTGTATCTCTATTAAAAAAGCTAATTATTTAGTAAATCCAATTCTGTTTCTCACTATATGTTTTTAGGAAACATCTGCTTCTTCTGTTACATTAAAAATTGGCAAAGAGTTTGCATGCATGGCTAGTCCGTTAACTAGAAATGTTGGCCTGTTAATCACCTCTAAACAAGCAGTAGCCCAGGTAGAGGCGGTTTCGGAAATACTACCTGCAAATATGAGGAGTTTCAGTCTATCACAGTTGTACTAGATGATTATTGTATATTGAATATTGTATCTATTCTATTCTATTCTATTCTATTCTATTCTATTCTATTCTATTCTATTCTATTCTATTCTATTCTATTCTATTCTATTCTATTCTATTCTATTCTCTATTCTATTCTATTCTATTCTATTCTATTCTATTCTATTCTATTCTATTCTATTCTATTCTATTCTGCCATCATCAGATATGAGGTGAGCAAGGGACTAGGACAGGACAGACCTGGTAGTGAAGACGGCTAAAACTTCTTGGACAATTAATATGGAAGAATATCCATTGCAGGCAGGGACGAAGTCCCACAGGGTGTGAACATGTACTGTATAAAAATGACATAGCTCTAGTACAGGGCTTATGGCTGACCTGGAAAGACATTTTCTAGGGATTCTTAATGCTATGTACTTATCCTCCAGTTACTTTTATTTTAAAATGAAACTAGGAAAATACCTCTAATTGTATTGCATTAATTTCAGTACATCATGAGCTTTAAGAAGTATAGCCCAAACTGGAGAGGCTCCTTTTGGGAATTTTTTTCTTATAATTACTTCTGCCAGCATGCCAGCATGCCATATGGTTTCTTCCAGATCTGAGTAAGTAATTCCTGGAGAGGGAAACAAAGGCATAGAGAGGTTCCCCTTGGACCCTACAGAAAAATCAGGTTCAAAGACAGAGCTAGAGCACGAGTTTCCAGCTACCCTCTGTGGCATAAGGAATGAGAAATTATGGTGGAAAGAAACTGGCACTTAAGAGCTAGAAACTGCTTTCCAAGAATAATTCTTTTCTTATGCTACATAAATAATGGCAGCAGCCCCCACATTAGTTCATGTTACTGGACAGAAGAAAAAAATACTTTGTTTCAGACTGCAATTGAAATGAAGGTTTTGCTCTTGTCAGCCTCCTGTTAGAATTCATATTGGCACCTAACAGCTTCAGGAGAGCTTTTGTGATTTATGTTTTCAGGAGGAATCATTCCAAAAAGCTCTGAAGATGTACTATTTCTTTAAATGCTGAATTAGCCTCTTTAGTTGAGCAAAAGATTTATTTCTACCTCTGAGCCAGAGTGTTATTTTCCCTTCCTAAGGATTCACAGCTGTTTAAGTGCCTTCTGATACCAGAATTTTCAGCCTCCACATTTTTTTAGGTTTAGAGTTTTCATCTTTTGTGTGATTCTTCTGTGTTGGATATCGATGTCTGTTGCTGATGTCTTTCTTATGGGGGAAATTGGAGGTGTCAGACAAGCCACAGAGATACACACTGTGAGCCTGACTCTGACCCTGGTGGTGGCTGAGCTCAGAGATGTGCTCTGATGGGAATGCTCCCTTCTGACCTTCAGTGATCATGCTGAGATACCTGTGTATCTGTGCTGCAAGCTCCAAAATTCAGTGGCTCCTTATGATGCCTTTCCTGCCTTAAAACAGGGTTTGTGCAGGTTAGGGACAAACATGCCATGTATGTGCTGAGTAGTGCAGTGATCTCATGTAACAGCATTGAATCTGCCCACTAAAGGAGACTTTGATTATTTTCAAGTTCTGTCCATATTTTGCAAGTCTTTAGCTTCCTGGTCTAGAAGTATAGCTCTTGTTAGTTCCAAGACTTCGTTCTTGACTGTCTCTCCAATTCTTAGATGCAGTCATGCCAACCCCCCAGCCACATTTTCCATTTACCAAATGCTTATACACACTGACAGGAATACACCATACCCATACATACAAACACACAAAACCATGCAGAAAATACAGTTAAGAACAGCTGTGAAATCAGTGCTGCAAAAGAAAGCTCAAAACATGTTACTTTCTCACATGGATTTTTTTTTTTTTTGGTGGCATAATATTACATAAATGCTAACTTTTTTGCACTTGATTTTTTTATGGCTTCTAAAACCAAGAACAGAACTCCAGATCTATTCACTGTACAGGGCATTTTTTCTTAGATCTACACAGAAGATGTGGTGACAGGTACTGTTTAATGATCTCGTCTAGAAAGTTCAGGATGTGCTGGCAGGGTTTGCTGGCTGTTAAGTCTGGTTCTGCCTGACTCCAGGATTATGAACATCTCCATTTTAATTATGTTTCCTGAAAATGCCTTGTTAATTTCTACTTCGGAAAGAAGAGGGCAAAGCAAGCCATCCATGTCAGCAGAGGACAGCTCTACTCATGGCAAAGCTGGAGTCCAGTGGCTTGTGTGCTACCTCTACCCCCATTTCGCTTGCACCACTTTCCCAAACACTGGTAACTTCTACATATTTCAGGGACAGTAATTAATGAAGTTTACTCCTGCAAGGGAGCTGCTAATTGCTGTTATACTCTGTTTACAGCTGTTCACTGAGGTCCTGGAGGGAAGCAATTTCCTCAACCTTCCCAAGCAGAGTGGTGATAGTGCCAGGGACTGAGCCCACCCTGAGACCTATTGCCCATTGTTAATCACTGATGAAGCAGTTAAGCACCAAAACCACTCAGCATCTTTCAGGATAGCACTAGAAATGATCAGGCTCAAGTGGGGCTAAGAAAAAGCAGCACACTGAGCACAGCAGTCCAAGAAGGTCCCAGCTGGGGTCAGACGCCTCCTCCAATCATCCTCACCTTCCATTGTATGCAAAGCCAACAATGACATAACTAATAACTAATTACAGTGAGAGGAAGGGGAAAATGGTGCAGTGAATGCTCACAGAATTCATAAAGTCAAATGCCAGTAAAATTCAGTATGTGTCCAAAATAATGCTTTAGTTCCTGGCTACCTGCTGTGTTCAAGCTAAACAAAAGACAAGTAATATCTTCAGGATGATTTTGCGAAGACAACTGTTCTTTATTATAAGATAAAATTGCAGCAGTTTATTTTATTTAATTAGTATCTCATTTGTTCTAGTATATTAAAAGGCTAATATGCATATAAACTGATCTTGCATCTTTGGACAATTTGCACTAAAAATATTATATTGTAAAAGAAGAAGGAAAGATGTGAGCACTGGACTGTCTCCCATCAAACTCAATTGAATCTCACAGAAATACTCTGTAATTTACGGTATGGGTATGCTGATAGGCAGGAGAGATGGTGATGAGTGCAAGCAATTGATATTAAAAGTGTATATGGACCAATTTGTAGCTGTGCTATCCCAGGAGAGACCCAAAGAAAGAATGATCACTCTGAGACACAGTTTCTTCCCTCTGTACTGACCTACCTCCAGCTGAAAAAGGAGAGTTTCATTCCCCAACCCTGGGGAGCATTCACATGCTGCTCTGCCCATTCCTCCCTCCCAGGCATCTGCTCTGGATGGTCTTTGCGGGATGACCTGCACTCCCCTGCATCAGAGTACCCATGGGAAGTGTCCATGCTCCCCTCTTGCCCTTCCTGGCATCCCTGTAAGGCAAAGCTAGCGTCTGTGGGGAAGCACTGGGTGCTACGGGAGACTTGTGTCCCTCTCATACATATGCATACACATATATGTACATACGAACCTCTGTGTATACATAGCAAATGAGAAATCAAAGTGAACAAAAAGTAAAGGGACAAAAATACTTTGGAAAAAAGATAGAACACCTCTTAGAGTCACCTCTTCCGTGTTTATATATGTGATACTGGGGACAAAGATTTGGGTCTCACATGGGGTGGTTCAGTTAAAAGTACATCATTGTCAGTAGTGTGACCCTATAACTAACAGTATTTTTTTTTTTCCTTTCCTTTTACTTTGTGCCATTGCAGTGTCAGCAACAATCAGAAGAAAATGCGAACATTTGTCTCGATAGCCCAGAATGCATGGGGAATTTTTATATCTGAAAGGAAGCCTGGCTGGAAGTATCTGATGCAACTTTTTGCAGTTTGCTCTGCAGTTGGCTTCATCTCAAGCTTTCTCTTATTCCTTGGCATGTACTTCTCCCTGGCACACCACCCTTTGGGCCCCTTACTGATTTCTGGATTCATCTGGATCTCACTTTCTATTGCACTCTCATGTTTCAAGCACCTGCGCTGTTTTAGTGTCCTGTTCCTTCTTTCTTGTGGATTGCAAAATGGCAGGAATGCTCTTATTACTGCTGGCACAGGTGTTGTGGTGGCCGGCAACATCCAAAATATTTTTCATAACCTAAAGGTTCTCGCAGACAGTATAACATGTCATTTAGAGTATGAGAAATTTGACTTGATAAAATATTATGTTGATGCAGTAAAATGGATTTACGAGATGGCTAAGCTTTCCCCTGAACTATTTAAATATATAGTGTTCCTAAGGCATGAATTCACATCATCTTATTCGATTTTAGATGATGCATTAAAACAAGAGCTAAATGACACAAAGCAAGAAATCCAGAGAGTTGCTAACCAGATATCTTTTATGCTGACTATACTGCCCTATATAGGCCAGAAAGTATTGCCTGTAGTGGGGATTTTTCTAGTTTCTTTTGGAACTGGCCTCTTTATCAAAAAATTTTTGGGCCCTCACAGTGCCAAATTCAATAATATTTATATCACAAAACAGTTCATTGCATTTGATGAGCACCAAAAGCAACAGCAAAGACCCTGTCTTCTGCCACTTAACAGAAAAGAAAAAAAAGATTATGTGACAATTCCATCTTTCTGCCTCACAAGGAAGGACAGAAAAAACATGCAGCATTTTTTTCTCCCTGTAATTATTCATCTTTGCATCTGGCTTCTGTTTGCTGTACTGGATTATTTGTTTTATTGGTTAATTAATTCTGTGAATAAACATCTCCGAGAAGTACCGGATCTGGAGATTCAACTCAGCCTCTCTCAGCAAGTAAGTGCTTATCAGTACTCTATATTTCTTAGTTTAGTGTTTAAAATTTTTCTTCATCTTCAGCAGCTGCAGGAGCAGACATACAGCCAATGAGCCATCAGTTCTTTCATGAAATTATAATTTGTTTCAAAAAAGGCCGTTGCCTTTACAGATATGTGCATTGGATGGAACCTGACAGTTCTAATCACCTTCCAAAATGTCATCATATTTCTGGAAAATGGTAAATATAGGAAGAAGCGCTTTCATTTGTCCATTTATATATGTCGAGAAGACCTGAAACTTAAAATTGGAATCTCACAATGCTGACATTTGTGAAACACCACTTTTATAGTCAAAATGCCACTGTGACACCGACATAAGAGATACCTAGCTTTCTTTAGCTGAGTAGTGTGAGGAGCTCATAATTTTAAAAAAGCATGGCTGCATACACATGAAATAATAATAACACATTGCCAAAATCTCAAGCTTGATCAGTGGCATAGACAACCATGGAGTAATTAGGTTGGAAGGGATGTCTGGAGACCATCCAGACCAACCTCATGCTCAAAACGGGGACAACTTGAGAGTCAGATCAGATTGCTCAGGGTCTGTGAATAGTTCAAAAGCTGGAGGTTTCACTGCTGGAGTGTATGACCCATGTGATGTGTGGGCACATGAAAGCTGCCCAGTTTGATAGCTTGCAAGATCAGGCTTAAAATGTTTCCCAAAAGCATATAACCCTTTGATACTTTCAGGATATAAGACTTCAAAGGGATGCTTGACTGTTAGTACAATATGATATATGCTCTTTCTTCTGTCAAATTTTTCTTACTCAGCATTTTCTATTACTTCCTCTTAGAGCTCATAATAATGAGAATCCATTCCCAATTCTGCCATCCTCCCAAAATTCATCTAGCCAAAAGCAGTTCCACAGAGCAGAATTATTAAGGTGAGCAATGCAATAAATATGTTGATTGAATTTACAAGCAAACAGAAGAGAACATACAGTCTTTGGCAGATAGATTCTCATTCTCACTTTTCCATACATGACATACTGAACCTGTGTGTTGGTTTCTTCAGTCAGACCATGTTTTCTATGACACACTGCTAAATCATTGCAAGTTCAGCTTAGACAGTGTTGTGGAAGACTGGTGGTTCTGGTGTGTCATAGGACATTCATCTGTTTGAGACTGAACCATGAAGGGGAAGGGAGATGTAGTGGATAGAATCCTTGAGGAATGGGAGCACTTTAGGCAAATGTGAACTACTAATGAAATTAGCTGAAATGAAGTCAAGCTGCTTGTCAAATTCAGATAATATTTTGTATTGTATATCAAAATATAAAATTTTCCATGGGATAAAAATTAAATTATTGTCCAGTTTTATCTAAATGAAGAGTAGAAAAATGCAGTATCCATATGGCAGATACAAACCAAAGGTTCCCAGATTGTGTCAGTGGAAAATCACTTTCCTAGAGGGCAGAGGCTGCCAACTTCTAATTGTTACCCTTCTAACTGTTACTTGAATTTTCTGCCATGAAGATAGGTGCAAAAGCCATTGGATTCACTGTAATTCTGCAATAGTCACACGTATAGCAAGTCAGACCCATCTAGAAGACCTCAGATTCCTGTGCAAGAGCAGAGAGGGTTTAATGATCTGGTCAGTCAAATGTGAGATATGTTGAGGGCACAGATTGTTATGCATGCTAAAGGGCCTTTACAACACATATAAACCTTGCTGCTGCACAGCAGCTGTGTTCTAGCACCACCAAACCAGCATGTGAAATGTTCCTGGTCCCTGAAGTATGGTCCCTGACAGAAAAAGGGTTCAGGAGAACTGGCTGATTTTCAAAAATCACTTAGTCCAAGATCAAGAATTATTCATGCCAACTTCATCAAGCAACAGCAGCAGGAGACCAGCATGGATAAGCAAGGGGCTCCTGACAAAACTCAAATATAAAGAAGCAGCATACAGGAGGTGGAAGCAGGGACAGGGGGTCCAGGAGGAACATAGAGATACTGATTGTATAGGGATGCAGGCAAGAAAGCCAAAGCGCACCTGGAGCTGAATCAGGGGAGTCAGGTAAAGGGCAGCACAAAGGGCTTCTACAGGGCTATCAACAGCAAAAGACAGCCATGGGGAAATACAGGTCCATTGCTAAGTGCACTGGGGGTTCTGGTGACAAAGGACGTGGAAAAGCCCAAAGTAGTCAATGTCACCTTCAGCTCTGCCTTTACTAGGAAGAGCAGCCATCAGAAATCCCAAGCCTCTGAGACCAGAGAGCAAGTCTGGAGCAAGGATCAGCTTAGAGAACATTTAAACAGAGTCCATGGGACCTTATGGTTCCCCCCTGCAAAGCCACCCACAGGTGATGAGAGAGCTGGCTGATGTCACTGTGAGGCCACTCTTGATTATCTTTGAAAGGCCATGGCACCTGGGAGAGGTTCCTGAGGACTGGAAAGAAGCAATTGTCTCTTCCATCTTCAGAAAAGACAAGGAGAAGGATCCAGGGAACTACAGTCTGGTCAACTTCACCTTGATTCCTGGGAAAGTGATGGAGAATATAACTGTGGAAGCCATTTGCAAACACATGAAGTCCAGGAAGAATATTAGGAGTATTCAGCATGGATTTATAAATGCTAAATCATGCTTGACCAACCAAACAGCATTCTATGATACAATCACTGGTTTGTTGGATGAAGAGAGAACAGTGGATGCTGAATCTACATTTATTAGGGTCTGTGACAGTGTCTTCCACAATATCCTCATTGCCAGACTGATGAAGCATGGGCTACATAAATGAAGAATGATGTGATCTAAAAATTGGCTGAAGTGCTGAACCTAAAAAATTCTGATTAGTGGAACAAAGTAATTTCTGATGTCCCCCAGGAATAGACACTGGAACCTATACTGTTTAACTTATTGATTAATGAACTGAACAGAGGAACAGATTGTAGCCACACAAGTTTGCAGATAATATAGAACTGGGAAGAGTAGCTGAAACACCAGTGAACTGCGCTGCCATTCAGAGGGACCTGGAAAGGCTAGAGAATTGGGCTGACAGGAACCTCACAATGGTCGCAAAGAGAAATGCCATGTCTTGCTGTCTTTGACAAGAAATAACCCCAGGCACTATCGGGGTCCAACTGGCTGGGAGGTGGCTTTACAGAAAAAGTCCCTGAGAGTTCTGATGGATACCATGTTGACCACAAGCCTGCAATGTGCCTTTCTGGCAAATGAAGAGATATCCTGGGCTGCATTAGGCAGAGTGTTGTCAGCAGGCTGAGAGTGGTGATCCTTCCCCTCTGCTTAGCACTGATGAGACCCAGTACAAGAGAGGCATATACTGGAGTGAGTTGAGAAAATGGTCAAGAAGATGATTAAAGGACTGGAGCATCTGTCATGTGAGGAGAGACTGAGACAGCTGGCGCTGTTCAGCTTGGAAAGAGATGGCTTGGGAGTTTCTCATCAGTGTGTATAAATACGTTATTGGGGTGTGGGTGTAAGAAAGAGGAGCCAGACTCTTCTCAGTGGTGCCCAGTGCAGGGACAAGAGGCAATGGGCACAAATTAAAGGAAATTCCATTTCAACATTAATTTTTTTTTTTTTTACTCTTCAGGTGATCAAACACTAGATATTAAAAATCCAGCTGAACACAATCCTAAAGCAACCTACTGTATCTTCAGTTATTCTCTTTGTACTGCTGTATACAGTTTTGCCTGTGTTTCTAATCCTTTGATTAGAATACCTTAAGGACAGCTGCTTATCATGACCTGCTGTGTTGGGTTCATGTGTGGCAGTGTTTTGTTAGCAGGAAAAGGGGGCTACAGGTTTGGATCCTCTGAGAAGCTTCTAGAAGCTCCCCCATCTCCAGGTTGGACCTGTCTCTGGCCAAGGCCGAGCCAGTTAGTGATACTAGCTGAACCTCTGCAACAGTGCATTTAGGAAGGGGAACCTGGGAGGAGAAGGAGTTGTAAGGGAAATACCTATGAAAACACTGAGGCCAATTGAAGAGATGAGGAGAGTGAGATGCACCAGAGAAGAGGTTCCCCTGCAGCCCATGGACATCACTAGTGGAGCATATGCCAACATACAGCCTGTGGAAGACCCCACACCGGAGCAGATGCCTGCCCCCAAAGGAGGCCGGGACTCTGAGGTAAGCCCTCACTGGAGCAGACTGTTGCTCAGAGGACTGCACCCCATGGAAGGGACTCACACTGGAGCAATCCATGAAAAGCTGCAGCCCTGTGGAAAGGACTCATGTTGGAGACGTTCATGGAGGACTGTTTCCCGTGAGAGGGACCCCATGCTGGAGCAGAGGAAGAGTGTGAGTCCTCCCCCCTGAGGAGGAAGGAGCAGCATGGGTGCTGAACTGATGGCTGGATGCTGAAGTGCTCTGCTGGACGGGAGAAGGTAGAGAAATCAGGAGCAAAGCTGAGCCTGGGAAGAAGGGAAGGTGTTTTTAAGATATAGTTGTATTTCTCAATGTCCTACTCTCTTTGACTGGTAACTTAGTGGTGGTGGTGGTGGTGGTGGTGGTGTTCAAATTAAGTTGATGTTCTTTTCCCTCCCCAATCGAGTCTGTCTTTTGCCTGTGACCATAACTGATGAATCATCCCACCCTGTTCTTGTCTTGATCCTGAGCCTTTTGTTTTATATTCACCTCCCTGTCTCTGGGGATGAAGGAGTGAGCAAGCAGGTGTGTGGTGCTCAGTTGTCTTCTGGGCTTAAACCACAACACCCGCCTTAGATGTGACCCAAGTCAGGGCAAAGAAGGAGCTTAGTCCCACCATCTGTGGACAGAGGGCCTGAGCCTGACCCTGTCTGGCTGATTCATGAGTCCTGTGCTATGAAGTTGGTCTCTATGTGTTTCAGTGTTCACTCCAGTGGAAACCTGTTTGATTCTCCCAAAACAGAAAATTATGCCTTCATCAGATTGTTTCTGACAGCCACATGAAAATTTAAAATTTAATCTCAACAGATTTGTCATAAAAAGCCTCAGGGCTGCTGATCTCAGGGAGTCTAGAAAGCTGGTTGGGTGAGCAGGACAGACTCAGCAACTTCTTGAGATGTTTAGTATGACCAGTAACGCTCTTCATGCACTTGTACCCCTGTTCCACATTGAGTCCCTAATGCAGTTTTTCCTTGCTTAAACATTGGTTCAGATTAGGCACAAAATGTACTGAGATAGACAGGAACAGGATAATGTCAAGAAAAGATGAACAGGCTGAAAATGTATAGCATGCTTTGGGGACCTGATTCTTCCAATGATCATGTAAGCGAAGTGCCTGGCCTCTGTAGGGTAGTTAGAAGAGCCACAAGGAAGAGTTACATATCCTCCTGACACAGTCAGAAAAGAGGGCTGGGTGAATCAGCTCCCTACAGTGTTCCTACACACAGAGCAGAATGTTGCCTGCCAGTATGAAATACTGGTCCCAACAGCATGTCTAATTTAGTCCCTCTCATCCAGCAATGCAGTCCACAAACAGTGCAAGACATCAGCTTTTCTAAGCCAAGGCATCTAGTAGAGGTGGCTTTGTGTGACAACCTCGTGGTCAGAGCCTCTGCCTAGGTGGGTGTGGAAGCACTGCTGGTCATGTACTGAGCCACCACCAAAGGGATGGGTACACTCTGCTCTGCTGTTTTACTCTGAAGGAAGGACCCTCTAACGGAGTATCTGAGCAGATTCATGGGAGTGGTAATATATTAAATCATTATAGTCAGATTAGCTAAATGTTTGTCTATCAGAGCCACTGAGAAAGTAAGCTCTTAATAGTCCAAATTATGTCACGGTCTCCCAAAACAAATGGTGATAATGCAGTCTGAAACATTTATAAATATCCAATAAATATATTGTTATCAGCATAGCATATATAGACACTGGATGGACTAGATGATTTATGGTCCTTGGTAAATATGAATGTCCGGTGGGAGAAATATTAAGAAAGGAGGGAATGAGTACTATAACCAACTCTTTTTTTTTTTTTTTTCCCCCTTTTCTTATGCAGAGGAATGAGAACAGCTTCATCTTTGGTATGAGAGAGCATATTGAAAAGACTAATCCTTTCAAGATCTCTTTGTTTAAGCATGACTGCATCCCTCAGCCAGAGCTTGTTCTCTCCACAACATGGATCCAGCTTGGAGTCATCATCATCTTCTTAATCATTTTTGGGTTATTCTCTGGCCTCCTGACCCAACTTAAAATACTCATTTCAACTTCATTTTATCCTGACACCGAGATGAAACGGATACATTATTTGCATGCAAAATTACTCAAGAAAAGAGCAAAGCTACAAGAGAAAACTGGGAAGAACATGTTTGCTAGAACGGTAAGCCATCAGCTCCAGGGGGAAAAAAAATCTCCCACTCTCAGGGTGGTAGCCAGATCCAGGAAATACTTAAACACTTGGTAATTTCAGTTGTATGCTAATAGACTTTTCCCAGTGCTCTCCTGCACAGAAGCCACTGACAGGTTGCCTATTGGTGAGATTAGATCATATATAATTGTTTTGTTCTGTCCTGCAACACATGTGCATCAGATATGACATGGGTACACCCAAATACTACGTGTTGGCAGGAAAACACTCCTCAGACTTAGAGCTCTCCAGAGAAGAAACTCGGTTTTCATGAACATATGAAAAGCACCTCTAGCACAAAGGGTATTCCTGCAGTCTAGACATCAAATGTTAGGCATTTGTGAGCAGCCTTTTAATGTTGAGAAAGATGTTCAGTTGTTGCTTAGCAAAATGGAAGGTGATATATTTCTGTTTTAAAACACAGTAGGAGTGCAACTGCAAATACCATTAGAAAACAGAACTTTTTACTTGCAGAAACATTTGTCCTGTATATATATATATGCATATATACACTAGTGGAAATAACAAACATGAATATATTTATGGAAAATCCATATAGATACTGCAGACACATATAGTTTGGTTTGGGTTTTTTTAACAGCCTTCAATACTGACTACACAGGATGCTTGTGTCTGGGCAATCTCTAACTCAGTAATACTTTGATCATAGCAGCATATTTCTTTCTTTCCAGGTCAGCTTTTGGTTTCCAATACTCAAGGCAAGAAAGGCAGTCAAGAAGAAAGAAGAGTGTGGCAAAAGACAACACAATGTGAAAGAGACCAAGTGAATGTTTGGATAAGGTTGAGAAGATCTAGCTCCACAGGGACCTCCGGTTTGCACTCATCTTTCCTATGGAATGTCAATTTTGAAATGTAAAAATTAGGATCAAAGGCTAATCATCAGTATTTTGGAAAAGTGTGGAAAAGAAGCCATGGGAGATATTGTGCTCTTCACCACAAGAGCACTCCATGTTGCATTAATACTCATTTTTCTACTTGGGGTCTGCATTGTCTGGTACTTTAGTAATCCATGGAGGGTCTGTTCTTCTGTGTAAGAACAGTCAAACAGCTTGGAGCTTTTAGGACTACAGCACAAACCTCTTTGGGCTGAGCTAACAGAGGACATACTGGCAGCAGCAGGATTGTCTTCTTCACGTTTGCCAGACACGGAAGATAGAAGAGGCTGCCCATTGGCTTCTGGTCTGGCCAAGTGCCTAACTAGAGGACTTGGATGTTTCTAGACTTTTCTATCTATTTCTCAGCCCTCAACTGCCCCAAACCCTTCAGCCTGGTTCTCTCCCATCCCTAGCTTCTTATACCTGCTCTGGCCCCTGTAGCTGTCTCTTCAAGCAGGGCCAATACTCTATATGCTCTGTCAAACTTCTAGCCCAGGCAAACTCTCCCTCCCACCTCAGCTCTCCCACTTACTTTTGATGATTTGTCTCTCAGAAGTTTCTTGTCCCATACTCCCACTCAGAATCTTGGTTTTAGACTCCCACTTTCACTTATCCATAGACATAGTTACTGCAGATTGTCCTGTACCTTTGATGATCATGAGAGAGGTAATGTAGCACATGCAGAAGTGAGGATGCTCACGAGAGCTAGGAAACAGAGGAATCAGGTGCCGTGGGTCCAAACAAGCTGTTTTAGAGGTGTAGGAGCATTTAAACAGAGGTGAACAATGCTTTGAATCTTGCAGTCTGTAGGAGCTTGCAGAAGTGGTAAAAATGGGCTTAATTATGTTGCTAAAGCCACCATTGTTGTCAGTGAAACAAACCTGAGCTAATACTGAGTAATTCACCTATTCAACTAACATCAGTGATGCTACCTCTGTGTGACACAAGAACAGATGCTAAAAGCATAAAGACACAGGAATGGCTTGACTGATGTGGCAGTAAAGATTTAATATAGAGCTAAAAATCCACCCAACAGGCAGTGTACTCTTGATTTTCAGCCACAGCCAACCTTTCTTTAGGTTGTATGATAACAAACTGTACTCTGTTCTCTGTAATATGTGCATGGTCCCAAGGCAGCCATTGATTGATGTCTCTGTTATCTGAATGAATAAAAACTTATTTAAAACTTTCCAGTAGCAAGTGTCAGGAGTTATTTCCCATCTGTAACACTGAAAAATGCCAAGTCTTTTTTTCCTTTGGGTCTTCCAAATGAAGCCTCACTCCTTCATGCCCACAGATGATTCAGGTTGCTGGTGTGCCAACAATTTGCCTCTAAAAAAATGAGGTGCTAGATTAAATCCATGCATTATTAAGGGGTGTGCTGAATGTCTCTGTGTGGCCTGACTATGTCCCCTTTTACTAAAGTGGGACAGCCATGGATAGTAGCAGAACACCATTTATATCCCTGGTACTATTGTCAAGGACCCACAGCAAGAAGCATTCTGGTGGAAAAGCAGCTATTTGAAGGTTGCTCTAAATTTGTTTTCACACAACAGACTAGCTGTACCTAGACTAGCTGTCCAGGTACTATTGACAAGAGTGTTCATTCTTGTTATCTTGTTATTACTGCAGATGGAAGGGAAGAGTTAAATGTCAGCAAGAGCTGAGCATTTTTGGCTGAGTTCTGACAAGTTCATTGCTGGTTGGAGTTGGATGTGCTGCTTTCAATCCCAAAGGACAGGCTGGTGAGGAGCCCTGATCTCCTACTGCTTACAATACCCAAAGGCAGGGACAGGTCTGATTGACAGCATTACCACAAAACACTACCTGCTTCACTTGGCAACAGGAAGGCAAAATCTGTTTTGGAGTTTCTCGCTTTTCCTGTTTGATGGTGTGTTGCCACCCAACACACCTTTTCTCTCTGTTGTTCTGCAAGCAGCAAGTGAAAGCTTTGCAGCACATGGGAATGGTTCATCAAAATGACTCAGACAGGGATCAATGGTTGGGAGAGATACCTAAATATGTTAGGATTTTGAGTTCTGGAGTATGCTTTCAGGACAGTACTATCTCTGTACTTTGCATTTCCTTAAGGAATTTAACCCTAGTGGGAAGGACTGATTATGAAAAAAGCCTTTGGCAGGACAGATGAAATCTTGCAGTTTACAGAACAGTGTTGTATCTGAATGCTAGGGCTCTCGAACGCTAACTGGCAGGGCAGCTTACTATTACTTAGCTTGCCCCCTCAAATTGGCAAGAGTCATGGCAGTGATAAAACCCAGTCATTGGGAAACTAATTGTAATTCCATGCAAAATGTTCAGCTCTGATAAACATTTTACCTAGATGCTTGACCCCACTACCAGTATCACATGACATGGAAAAGCCTAAGGTACTTATTTGTCTTGGTCTTTACAGGTAAGACTGATCTTTAGCCATGCCAGGCCCCTCAGACCAGAGGGAAAGTCTGGAGCAAGGAAGACTTACTCATCCCGTGAAGGATGACATGCTTAGAAAGCACTTAAACACACTGGATATATTAAGTCCATAGGACATGATGGGAGGCACCCATGGGTGCTGAGGGTGCTGGCTGGTGTCCTTGTGAGGCAACTCTTGATTATCTTTGAAAGGTCATGGTGATCAGAAGTTATTGAGGACTAGAAGAAAGTGAATGTCACTTCCGTCTTCAAGAAGGGCATGAAGGAGGATCTGTGAAACTACAGGTTTGTCATCCTCAATCTGTGAGAAGGTGATGGAGCAGTTTCCCCTGGAAGCTACTTCCAAACATAAAGGCCAGAAACTCGACTGGGACATCACCTAAACATAAGAAAAACTTTGTACTGCGAGGGTAGTCAAACACTGGAACAGGTTGCCCAGGAAGGTTATGGAGCTTCCATCCTTGGAGATGTTCAAAACTGAACATGGCTTTGAGCAATGCAAAGCAGTGGGCCTGGAGTAGGTATATCTAGAGGTGCCTGCCAGCCTCAGAGACTCTGTGATTTGGTGACTTTTATACAAAACATTGCAGAAAACATATTAGACATGTGCAGCAAAAGCTTGTTTTAATTTGTAAATGTGCTAGGCCAGCATCAGGGTGCCACATGAAAAGTACTGGTAACACACTTGAGTGGACTAATGTACTGTTTGCTTCTGTGACCATACACATGCATACCCATGTGCTGAAGGTGAGCTGAATGGCAGACCAAGGAGGTAAGTTTGCTCTTCCCCATCTCCCTAAATGTGGGTTACCAGGGAAAATGGCACATTCTGTACTTTTCTTTTTTTTTTTTAAAATTCTAAAACAAAATTACCTTCCATATCTCAAAGACATTGAGGTTTATCTCAGCGCTAGAACATTTCTTACCCCAATCTACAGTATTAGGTTTATTCCTTCAGCTGCCCAGTCATCCTCTTTAGTTGTACAGAAGAAAATGGAAGGTTTATCTCTTCCCTGGCATTACACAGAGACAATTTTCTCATTCTCTGCAGACCTTGCTTGGATTCTGTTTTCTCCCATTTTTTTCTGTCCTGTGAGCTAGGGAAGTCTGGGGGTTTGTTTATCTTCAGCTGTCTCCTCTGCAAGTTGTTCAGCTATTTCCTTGGCCTCTCTGTTTACCATAACCCTCAACCACATGATTACATTGTTCTTTTTCTTTTTTTTAAAAAAAAGGTCTACAAGTTACAATAAAAACCAGTATTCCATCCACAAGTATTTCTGTTCCTCTTCTTGCCTGCTCTCTCCTCACATTTTCTACATTTTATTTTGCATCTTTTTCCCTGTCTTTGTCATTCAAATTCTTCTTTCCTCTTCTGGTATGTCTTTTTCCTCTCCAATAGATCATTCTTCCCATACATAAAAGCATGCATTTTTTCTTTCTGCTGACCACAAGTGAATTACAGGTACAGTCGACATTAAGGATTTTATTTATTCATTTATTAGCTTAATGGAAATTTTTAATAACTCACATTACTGGGCATTGTCTCTAACTGCCTCTCTAAGTCTTGTCAGAAAAGTATTCATATACCAGCAACACTAAAAACAAGAGTCTGAGGAGAAGTCTGGATTTGGCTTCTGACTCATTCATCCCTTTCCTTCCCCCAGCTCGCAGCAGAGTTCAGCTTCCTTTTTAAACATCCTTTGCTAGTGTAGAAGCTGTTTGATTTACTGTGAAAAATCTCACAATTGGATCAAATCTGGCTTGTAAAATTAATGAAAGGATGACCTGATTTTCTTCTGCAGATAATTCAGAGAGACATGGTAGTGCTCCTGACCCTCCTGAAGCACCATACAAATGAGGTCAGTTCCTTTCAACAATTGTGTTTGTGGAACTCTCCTTATCACCACCCCATACCCCCAAACTTTGCTTGGTCCATAGCTGAGCTAAAGGCTTTGTTTCCTCTCTGCTACTTTTGTTGCAGCATTTCGTATGGGCAGCCGGGTGTGCAAAGTCAGAGGATGTGAGGTTCACAGCTGCTTTCACCCTGATCCCTGCTCTGCCAATATTGACTCACTGTGTTTTCATCACAGTTTAAATAGCCCAGAGATGCTTGCAGTTAAAGACAAACAAGCAAAGCCTTTCCTCTAGTTCTGTTTTACATAGCAAAAATGTAAAGTAAGGATCGAAGGATCACTCTCTGCTGATCCTGCAATAAAGCCTGAAAATGGGGATGCTATTGTCGACTTTATGGGCACAGACTTCAAAATATGTGAAGACGCTTCATGTGGGTGATGCTGTGCAGGAGAGTAACTTCCTTCTCATTTCATTCCTGATACATAATACCAGCTCTGCCCTCCAGTGGCCCAGTAAAGCTACATGCCCCAGTGCTGCTACTCTCTGTAGAGTACTGGTACTTCAGGCTGAAGAGAGAAGCACTGCAATTGGTGCTTGCACCACAG